CAGAATTGTTACTTAGGGACACAGAATTGTTACTAGGGACACAGAATTGTTACTTAGGGACACAGAATTGTTACTGAGGGACACAGAAATTGTTACTGAGGGACACAGAAATGTTACTTAGGGACACAGAATTGTTACTGAGGGACACAGAAACGTTACTTAGGGACACAGAATTGTTACTCAGGGACAGACACAGAATTGTTACTGAGGGACAAGAATTGTTACTTAGGGACACAGAATTGTTACTTAGGGCCACAGAATTGTTACTTAGGGCCACAGAATCGTTACTTAGGGCCACAGAATTGTTACTTAGGGCCACAGAATTGTTACTTAGGGACACAGAATTGTTACTTAGGGACACAGAATTGTTACTCAGGGACAGACACAGAATTGTTACTGAGGGACACAGAATTGTTACTGAGGGCCACAGAATTGTTACTTAGGGCCACAGAATTGTTACTTAGGGACACAGAATTGTTACTGTTTGTTACTTAGGGACACAGAATTGTTACTGAGGGACACAGAATTGTTACTGAGGGACACAGAATTGTTACTGAGGGACACAGAATTGTTACTGAGGGTTACAGGGACACAGAATTGTTACTGAGGGACACAGAATTGTTACTTAGGGACACACAAATTGTTACTTAGGGACACAGGACACACAGAATTGTTACTCAGGGGACACAGAATTGTTACTGAGGGGACACAGAATTGTTACTGAGGGACACACAGAATTGTTACTGAGGGACACAGAATTGTTACTTAGGGACACAGAATTGTTACTGAGGGACACAGAATTGTTACTGAGGGACACACAGAATTGTTACTCAGGGGACACAGAATTGTTACTGAGGGACAGAAGAATTGTTACTGAGGGACACAGAATTGTTACTCAGGGACAGACACAGAATTGTTACTGAGGGACACACAGAATTGTTACTCAGGGACACACAGAATTGTTACTCAGGGACACAGAATTGTTACTGAGGGACACAGAATTGTTACTCAGGGAGGGACACAGAATTGTTACTCAGGGACACACAGAATTGTTACTGAGGGACACAGAATTGTTACTGAGGGACACAGAATTGTTACTGAGGGACACAGAATTGTTACTGAGGGACACAGACACAATTGTTACTCAGGGACACAGAATTGTTACTCAGGGACAGAATTGTTACTGAGGGACACAGAATTGTTACTGAGGGACACAGAAATTGTTACTGAGGGACACAGAATTGTTACTCAGGGACACAGAATTGTTACTCAGGGACACAGAATTGTTACTGAGGGACACAGAATTGTTACTCAGGGACACAGAATTGTTACTGAGGGACACAGAATTGTTACTGAGGGACACAGAATTGTTACTGAGGGACACAGAATTGTTACTCAGGGACACAGAATTGTTACTCAGGAATTGTTACTCAGGGACAGACACAGAATTGTTACTCAGGGACACAGAATCGTTTAATTAAAGAGTATGTCAGACAACATGCAGAGGAGTGGCAGAGGAGGCAATGTTTTAGGAGCGAGCAGACGTGGCAGCAGAGGAAGGGGTCGAGGCAGCACTATTCGCAGCCAGAGGCCAGTGCTCCCGGTGTCATCCAGCGGTCGTGTCTCCACCGACGACAACCCTGCCGTCATCGATTGGTTGGCTCGGTCGTCTTCCTCTTCCCAGGTCACCTCTGACACCTACAGCCAACGGTCGGTGGGTACGTCAGACACAACCGTTAGTTGGCATGGCCCGGGAGCAAGCCCACTGAAATCACGTGTCCTCTACCTGCCCCTGTCCTTTGGTGTTCCCTCACCAAGCGAAGTATCGCATGCTGTGGGCTCAGCCCCACTGTACAGTGAGGAAGAGCTAACAGAGGGCGGTCAGGAACGGGGGGAGACATCCGCCTCTTCAGCAGCCAGGCGAAGAAGTAGTGGCGAGGAGAGTGGCTCGGTAGCCGGTCTAGAGACAGGTCTGTCTCCTGACCCACACGCAGCCGAGGGGGCTAGTAGTGAGGCGGAGACCCTAATTGATGATGATGAGGCTGATCGCACTTGGCAGCCTCGTCGTCATCAGGCTATTGCTTCCGCATCATCAGGAGAAGAGGGTGGCAGCTTGGCAGCGAGCAAAACAGTCGGTGGGTTGCCCAGGAGGCAGCAGGGTCGCAGCAGTGTCAGTGGAGGCAAACGGCCACGGAGTACAGCACCAGCTCCACTGCAGCCTACCACCACGGCCAGTAGTGGTGCCGGTGTGCACGGAGGAAGCAGCAGTCAGCCAGTGAGGAGTATCGGGGGCAAAGTTTCCTACTCGGCGGTGTGGCAATTTTTTGTCAAGCCGCCCGAGGAAGTAAACGTAGCCGTATGTCGACTATGTGGCCAGAAAGTCAAGCGTGGCCAGGGGGCCCATGTTGGGACTACAGCGTTGCGGCAGCATATGCAGCGTCGCCATTTGGTGGCCTGGGAAAACCGTGATAAAGATACGGCGGTTCTGCCCGCCCCAGCCCCCGCTCCATCACCCGCTCCGTTACTTGCTCCGTCACCCGACGTCAATCGCCCTCTATCAGCCAGTCAAGGCTCCAACACCTCTGCTGAGGGGAGTTGTCGCTCGTTGGCATCTTCCGCTCGTTCAGATGCTCCCTTCTCCTGCTACTCCTCTTCACGGATTCCGTCAGCAGTCTTTCTTGGAATCCGTTTCCAAGAGACAACAGTTTGCGAGCACGCACCCGACGGTGCAAAAGCTGAACGTCCTCCTGTCCAAGTTGCTGGTGCTGCAGTCCCTCCCTTTCCAAGTGGTGGACTCAGCACCTTTCCGAGAAATGATGGCTTGTGCCGCGCCGCGGTGGAGAGTGCCAAGCCGTCATTTCTTCGCCAAAAAGGCAGTGCCAGCCCTGCATTCACATGTAGAAGAGATGGTGGGGGGCCAGTCTTTGAGCATGTCGGTCTCTGCCAAAGTGCACGGCAGCGCCGACGTGTGGAGCTGTAACTACGGTCAGGGACAGTACATGTCATTTACGGCCCACTGGGTGAACGTGGTGCCGTCACAGCCGCACCAGCAACTTGGACAGGTCACGCCGCTTTTGCCTCCACGTTTGCACGTCCTTGGTCCACAAAAGATGTCCGCCTCTACCACCTCTTCTTCCGCCGTGTCCTCAGCCGCCACCCCCGTGCCAAGTCCCATTACCCGACCGGCATATCACATGTGCAGGGCGCAACGGTGTCACGCTGTGCTGCACCTGGTATGCCTTGGCGAACGTAGTCACACAGGGGAGGAACTTCTCAGTGTAATGAACAGAGAAATCGACAGATGGCTGTCTCCGCGCAAACTGAAAATCGGAACCATGTTGACCGACAACGGAAAGAAACATGGTGTCTGCTCTGCGTCAAGGAAGGTTGTGCCATGCGCCATGCATGGCTCACGTGTTCAATCTGGTTGTCAAGCGGTTCCTAAAATCCACCATCCCACTGCAAGACATCCTTAAAATGTCACGTAAACTTTGCATGCATTTCAGCCATTCCTACACCGCAAAGCACACCCTCCTTGAGCTGCAGCGGCAGAACGGAATTCCACAGCATCGCCTGATCTGCGACGTTGCAACAAGGTGGAATTCAACCCTACACATGTTAGACCGCCTTTACGAACAGCGAAAGGCCATCACCGATTTCCTGATGTTACAAGCGGATAAAGGTACTCCCCTGTGTAACTTCGATGTCAGCCATTGGCAGCTCATGCGTGACACCTGCCGCTTGCTCAGGCCCTTTGAGGAGGCCACGCTATTCGTGAGTCGGCAGGACTATGGGATGAACGACGTCATTCCTCTGTTGCACGTCCTGGAACAAATGCTGTTAACAATGGCTGGTCAGGGTGCGGTAGACGTGGCGCACAGATCTCAACGCCACATGACCCCTGTGGGGGCAGGACAGGAAGAAGAGGAGGAGGTAGAGGAGGACATTTGTGCTCAGGAATTATTGAGTGAAATGGGTGGTTTTTCCACTCAGCGGACAGGAGTGGAGGAGCAGGAGCATCTGGTAGAGGAGGAGGAGGAGGAGACAGAGGACCCAGACGCACCGTGGCAGTATGCTGTGGAGATGGAGGCAGGGAGTCCCTCGCATTCCTTGGCACAAATGGCCCATAGCATGCTCGGTTGCTTGCGTAGCGACAGCCGAATAATAACCATCAGACAGAGGGATGACTTTTGGCTGTCCACCTTGTTGGACCCTCGCTACCGTTCAAAAATGGTGGCCTTTTTCACACCTGCTGAGAGGGAGGCCAAAATAACGTACTATAAAAACCACCTATGTAGTCAGTTGGTCTCTGCCTTTGTGCGCCAACGTCCATCCTCAGACACTGTGGGCCCTGTGCGCTCGCGTTCCGCTGCCATGGCAGCAGGGGAGGGGGGGGGGTGGTAGGAGCAGTGGCAGCTCCACCAGCAGCGGCTGCCTCAGTCTGCAGTCGATGATGAGTAGCTTTCTTCACCAGCGCAGTGAGGAAACTACTAACCAGCCGCAGCAGCAGCAGCAGCATCAGGTGGACCTGGAGCAGGACCTCAAACAACAGGCTTGGGCCTACTTGGACAGCACCCTGCCAACCGAGGTAGACAATCCCCTGACTACTGGGCAACGAAACTTGACCTTTGGCCCCAACTAGCTGAATTTGCCCTTGAAAGGCTGTCATGCCCGGCCAGTAGTAGCGTGGCATCGGAGCGCGTGTTTAGTGCGGCAGGAGGTATTGTAACTCCGCGGAGGACACGACTGTCCACCCAAAGTGTGGAGAGACTCACGTTTGTGAAAATGAATCAGGCGTGGATTAGTCTGGATTTCAAACCACCAGTTCCTGACACAACTGACTAAATCCGCCATGAATCATGCCCCAAACATGTGCCACTTTCAGGTCTCCTCACACTGCTGGTGTGTTTCCATTTTTTGTCATAGGGTGCTGGCAGATTACGGGCCTCCCATAGCTGCTGCCAGGCCCCTAATCTGCCATGGGCCCCTATACCGCCTCCTCATGCTGCTGCCAGGTCCAGAGTCTCTCATGGGTCCCTGTACGGCCTCCCATTGCTGCTGTCTCCATCGCCACACTCTGCCATGTGCCACTTTCAGGTCTCCTCACACTGCTGGTGTGTTCCATTTTTTTTGTCATAGGGTGCTGGCAGATTACGGGCCTCCCATAGCTGCTGCCAGGCCCCTAATCTGCCATGGGCCCCTATACCGCCCTCATCATGCTGCTGCCAGGTCCAGAGTCTCTCATGGGTCCCTGTACGGCCTCCCATTGCTGCTGTCTCCATCGCCACACTCTGCCATGTGCCACTTTCAGGTCTCCTCACACACTGCTGGTGTGTTCCATTTTTTGTCACATAGGGTGCTGGCAGATTACGGGCCTCCCATAGCTGCTGCCAGGCCCCTAATCTGCCATGGGCCCCTATATACCGCCTCCTCATGCTGCTGCCAGGTCCAGAGTCTGTCATGGGTCCCCTGTACGGCCTCCCATTGCTGCTGTCTCCATCGCCACACTCTGCCATGTGCCACTTTCAGGTCTCCTCACACACTGCTGGTGTGTTCAATTTTTTGACATAGGGTGCTGGCAGATTACGGGCCTCCCATAGCTGCTGCCAGGCCCTAATCTGCCATGGGCCCCTGTACCGCCTCCTCATGCTGCTGCCAGGTCCACAGTGTCTCATGCCATGTGCCACTTTCAGGTCTCCTCACACTGGTCTCTGGTGTGTTCAATTTTTTGACATAGGGTGCTGGCAGATTACGGGCCTCCCATAGCTGCTGCCAGGCCCCTAATCTGCCATGGGCCCCTATACCGCCTCCTCATGCTGCTGCCAGGTCCAGAGTCTCTCATGGGTCCCTGTACGGCCTCCCATTGCTGCTGTCTCCATCGCCACACTCTGCCATGTGCCACTTTCAGGTCTCCTCACACTGCTGGTGTGTTCCATTTTTTGTCATAGGGTGCTGGCAGATTACGGGCCTCCCATAGCTGCTGCCAGGCCCCTAATCTGCCATGGGCCCCTGTATGCTCATGCTGCTGCCAAGTCCAGAGTCTCTCATGCTGTACTGCCTCCCATTGTGTGCTGTCTCCATGCCATGTGCCACTTTCAGGTCTCCTCACACTGCTGGTGTGTTCCATTTTTTGACATAGGGTGCTGGCAGATTACGGGCCATAGCTGCTGCCAGGCCCCTAATCTGCCATGGGCCCCTATACCGCCTCCTCATGCTGCTGCCAAGGTCCAGAGTCTCTCATGGGTCCCTGTACGGCCTCCCATTGCTGCTGTCTCCATCGCCACACGCCACACTCTGCCATGTGCCACTTTCAGGTCTCCTCACACACTGCTGGTGTGTTCCATTTTTTGTCATAGGGTGCTGGCAGATTACGGGCCTCCCATAGCTGCTGCCAGGCCCCTAATCTGCCATGGGCCCCTATACCGCCTCCTCATGCTGCTGCCAGGTCCAGAGTCTCTCATGGGTCCCTGTACGGCCTCCCATTGCTGCTGTCTCTCATCGCCACACTCTGCCATGTGCCACTTTCAGGTCTCCTCACACTGCTGGTGTGTTCCAATTTTTTGTCATAGGGTGCTGGCAGATTACGGGCCTCCCATAGCTGCTGCCAGGCCGTCTCCTCACACACTGCTGGTGTGTTCCATTTTTTGACATAGGGTGCTGGCAGATTACGGGCCTCCCATAGCTGCTGCCAGGCCCCTAATCTGCCATGGGCCCTATACCGCCTCCTCATGCTGCTGCCAAGGTCCCAATCTGTCATGGGTTCCCTGTACGGCCTCCCATTGCTGCTGTCTCTATCGCCACTCTCTGCCATGTGCCACTTTCAGGTCTCCTCACACTGCTGGTGTGTTGAGTTTGGAATTTTTTTTGACATAGGGTGCTGGCAGATTACGGGCCTCCCATAGCTGCTGCCAGGCCCCTAATC